GACCAATATTAAAATTATGCTCAATAAACATGTGACGAAATAATATCGTTCTTAGGTTATGGTTAAAGCGTTTATGTTAATTTCCAATTGAGATATCATCAATAAAAATACAAATAACCAAATATCTGGCACCTATTCTCACACATAACATTGCAGAATAAACATTTCCGTTGTAACTTTGAATTGATGTTACGTTCATCTGCCTGAATCTGTAAAACTTCATTCTAAGAAGGTCCGCAGATGTTAGAAAACTATCTTGTAAATAGAATATAAAAATAATAAAGTAAAAATACCAATTTTTCACGCTGAAGTTGATCCCTAATATTTTTATCTTGTGGAAGCTTCTCCGGATCAATTATATGTATGTCATCATCTACAGATGTCAATAAAATAAGGGAAATGAGCTGTCTTTGAAAGAAATTTTATTTTCGAAAGGTACAAGTAAATGGATATACCTCCACTAATTTCTGTCTTCAGTTGTTCTACAGCAGGCCCTTGAGTAAGCTGTTTCGCCCAATATTCCAAGTACTTCTCAAGAATCAAATAAACATGATGCAAATTATTAAAGTGAACTTTATGCTTAGCCCTTAAATGCTCTACAAGATATGTACTATTGTTAATTATCACTTTGGGTTTGTTTGGATCTCGGCAGCTTTCGAAAGGGCACTCTATCGTTAATTCAATATAGTAAGATGGCAATACAAGAGCCGAAGAAGTTATATCTGGAGAAACGCTTCCTGATGAAATGTCGGGGCTACTAATATCCGAATCAGGAGAAAAAGAATTTGCCATATCAAAATTAGGAGGAAAACTGTAAGTGTTGTGGTTTGGTCCATAATTTGGGTGACGACTTGAAGAATATGTACTCTGTTGTTGTTTGTTCGAAGAATGTTTGTCTGTTCTTGTATTTACACGCTTATTATGTTCGTTTTTACTTTGGCCGCGAGGTTTTTCCCTATGTTTCGAGCCCAAACGAGAACGATTGTTTCCATGCCGTGAATTCGTTACAAAAGTCCATTGACCGTCGGTCATAACGAGCTTCAGTATAATCGCGAAAATTGGCGTCTATTTATGTCACAAATTGTGCTACAAGTCGATCCTTGTAATAAACAAAAAATGCTGTATATAAATTAGAATATAAAGGGCAATGTATCCTTTCATTAAACAATAATATTGAAAAGTATGACGACTTAGTTCGTATGCTTGGGAAACATCTCGAAGAAGTTATATTGAAGTTAGAAATGAAAGATGTTGTGGAAACTTGGAGAAGATCAATTATAAAAAAAATAAGATCATAGCACAAAGAGTCAAAATAATCAACTATTAAAATTTTTGTTGATATATAAAAAATATATATAATAAAAAAATCAATTATATTTTTAAAAATTTCAAACCATATACAGTATATATGATATAAATTATTTTGGTTTTGTTTTTTTTTTAAGTAGATAAACATCATTTCTTTATTTATTCATATATTACAAAGTACACATTTAGAAAGAAACAATATTTCTCATGTGCAAATTGCAGTGAGTTAAATGCTAGCTTGCTTACAGTAGTCATTTAATTTCTACTAAAAAAGAAATTTTAAAACTAGTATATTAATCAAATGATATTAGGCAGTTATATATGCTTACTCAGGACTGTTTTGAAAAATAATGTTATAATAATTGAAAATAAAATTAGAAATACATGATGTAAGGTTAAGATTGCTTTAAATAAATATTTTTGTGACTAGTAAGGGAATATCAATTGTTATATTGCTATGTGAAAAATTTGAACTGGTATTATTGTGAAGAATGGTATTTATTCTTGAAATACTAGTACTAAAGTTGTATTTGTATTTGTTACTATTATTGATTTTGTTATCTTTTGTTTTTATTGTTTTGTTTTATTTAATACTAATAGATAATAAACTATTTGTCATACTGCAATAGTGTTTCCATATAAGATTGTAGAACAATGTAAGAGCTTCAGTAAATGTTTTGATTTAGTTATAAATGTTGACTATAGAGAATATATTTGTGATAATTTCATATAATATAAATTATTTTATTATTGATTTAATTTCAAATTTTTCAAAAATAATTATATTAGAAATTTAGAAATATATGTATAATTTTATTATTATTATTATTATTATTATTATTATTATTATTATTATTATTATTATTATTATTATTATTATTATTGCAAATGAGTATAATATGTGCAATTTTTATTAAACTTGTGTTTATAATCAGTACATAAACAATCTTTACATTAAGTAAATTAATTGTAGCCTATTGCAATAACTTAGTAGAACCAATTTATACTACGTAAGTGAATTAGACACTACTAATGCTGAATGGCTTGTACTTATTCAGAACAATGATGTTGGTGTAGAGGAAAATATGAGTTTGTTAGTATTTAAATAATTAACTTCTAGTATGTTGATGATAGTTGGAAATACACTGTCGATGTTTTTTGCCTGGAATTGAGTGTTCATTGCCTTTATTTTCTTCCAAGCTATTCCAGCGAAGGGTGAGGTGATTGTGGTTTCAGATCTTTGTTTCTATATCTTGTAGAAAATTTTTAGTGATTTATTTGAAATACAATCTTTGTTTTTGGTGACAGTTTCAAAAGGAGGTTGATAAATACTGAGAGCCATTTGAAATATAAGCTGGCTGGTGATAGCTGTGGTACCAATTGATTGAGTGTAAGGATTAGCTCTTGAGGTGTGATCTTGTTGACTTTGTTGAATTAGGTTGATGATCTTGGGCCTTTTTTTGATAATATACCTATTGTTATGTAGGCAATGCAAAAAGTGACTAAGAGTTTCTTCTTTAGTATCGCACCTTGAACAGATGTTGTCAGAATAAAGTGTGAGGTATCTCTTATGGAGTTTGGATCTCATGGAAAGCTGGTCTGCTAGAAGTTTGATTCAAAAGGTGAAGAGAGATCTGTATTTAAGTAAGTCACTTTTCCTGAGCTTTTTGTTAGCATTGATAATATTCTCAAACTGGTCGAATGAGGTGGGCTTGTATGTTGCTAATTGGTTAAGGGTAAGGTTTTACAGGTTTGAGTAGAGATTCACAAATTTGATTCAGTGGGTTATACTTGTTGCATTGACATTGTTGATAAGAGGTAATGATGAAAAAAATACAGGTGGTATGATTGGTGGGGTTAAGAGAGGCATTGCTTGGGATATTGGTTTAGTGGTAAGTTTGAGCTTATCCCATGTAATGGTTAAACTTTTGAAAATGGTTTCTCTATTAATTCTGCTGATAAGTCTGGAGAATGGGACTTTGACTTGTCTGTTAATGTATTCTGGAATATGAAGGTCAGGTTTGGATGGAACTTTGCAAACTATGTAGGCATTAGACCCAGAGTTGATTACCGTTTGAAGAAGAATTGGCCAGAAGGTTGCCCAGATATTGGAGTTATTAAAATAGGAGAGCAGGAGGGTGCTGGTTCAGATGTCAATAACATTAGAGTGTACAATAATAGTGGAATGAGTTATCAGCTGATTATTAGTTGGATATGGTTGTATTATTAGCTGAGGAGTATATGTAGATATGGGGGTAAGAATTGAAATCAGTTCATTGATATTGTTAAGGAGTTCATAATAGCTGTTGTATTTTATGGTCCAAGTTGATTTGAGTTTACTGAGGTATTTGCTCTTAAAGCAAGGTTGTGTTGGGCAAGAACAAGTAGTAATGTGTTTGTTATCTAAAGCAAGAACGTGATGTCTCCCAGTGAGCAAGGGTCGAATTATGGCATTGTATCTTACTTTGATAAAGCTTAGGTGATTATTTTTTAGAAAGCTCCAAAATCTGGAACTCAGATTTGATAGGAATGGAGTGTCATCAATGAGTGGTGGTAATATGTTTGTTAAATTAATAAACCAATAAGGTATAGGGCCTTTGGTGATAAAGCCCTTGTGAGTGTGGAGTTCTTGCCAAGTAAGTTTGGAAGGCTCATTGAAACTGAGTATGTTGGAAAGAATTTTGATATTAGAAAAGAAAAAAAACAGAGTTGTTTTTTTGCTGATTTTTGTAAGTCAGCTAATTGAGACTTCATGGTTGAGCATATTGAATGGGCATGGGTTAGGGTAAACATTGATATGGTATTTAATGGCAGTTTTGACTGCTTGTGTTAGTCATAAGTTTTTGAATAACTGTAGAAAGCAAATAGGACATGACCAGATGGCATGTACAGCTTGTATTGATATGATTTCACGTTTGGTAGACTAGAAGGTTGCTGGGTTGGCAAGCCTTGTGACCAAGAGTTTGGTTGTTGTAATGTCTTTTCTGTTTTGCAAGTTGACTAGGTCTAAGCCTGCTTTGGAGTAGGTGATCTTGTTATAAATTGTTTGCTCGATGCCAAGCTTTGATTTTGTTGCTTTGTTGAGTTTGGCTTGAAGAAAGTTTATTTTACTATTTGCTGCAAAGGAAATATGCGTAGCATACTCCAGTTGTGCAGGAATGATCCAGTGAGATACTTGTTTGGTGATTTGCCCATTCCATGATTTTTGTGTTGCTATAGCCAATGTGAAGTTTTTAATTTTTTCGATAAGAACTTTTCGAGTTGCACAGTCGGAGGAATTCCCTAAAAGAAAGATGCCGAGGTATTTGATGGCTTCGTTATATGGTTTGACATGAATTGATTCGTTTTCAACTAGTAGAGAGTTCTGTCTGCTTGGGTGCGAAGGTTTAAAGTTGGTTATAAAGTTTGTTTTTTTCTTGTTGCACTTGATATTGTTTAATTCAAAAAAGAAGCAGAACAGATCTGTAGCTCTTTGCAAGTTTTGTAGGGAGCTGCTTGAGATAGCAGTGTCATTCATATATGTGAGAATTCGAGCTTTGTCAGACAGTTGTTTTGTTATTTTGGATACCATGGGGTTATAAAAGATGGTCCAAAGTAAAAGTGCTAGGGTTTCTCTTTAGTCTAAACTGTTATTTACTATTAATGGGTTGGAGAGTTTATAATATGTTATGAAGCTTAGTTTGTGGTTGTGAAGAAGGTTTGAGATAAATGTGATTATTTGTGGGAGAAGCTTAATTCATTTTATGGCTGCTTCCAAGCTATCAAGGTTTATAGAGTCAAAAGCTTTAAAGATGTCAAAGGAGGCGATCCAGTATTTTCTGTTGAAATTGTTTGCGGCTTCAAGTTCAGATGAAATTATGACTAGGGATTTTATAATACTTTGATTTTTGAGGCCTGCAAAGGAGTTTTCTGATAGAATTTTGTTTTTGCAGATGATTTCGGATAGCCTGGTATTAATGATTTTAGTAAAAATTTTCCTACTAGTTTTGATTAAAGAGATTAGTCGAGTATCCGCTAGTTCATGAGACCAGACTATTTTTTTTGGCAGGAGAGTAATAACTGAGTGTTTCCAGTGGATAGGAGGATTGTCAGAGTTTATAACTAAGTTAAAAAGTTTTTTAATATGCATTTTAGCAGATAGGCCCAGGTTTGACCACAGCTCATAAAGGATTGTTGTAAGGCCAGGTGACTTTTTTTGGGAGAGATTAGCAAGTGCACTATTAATTTCATCCAGCGTGATTTTTGTTGTTGCATCGTTGAAGATACTGGGAGGAATAGAATCCTTGAGGCATATTCAGGTAACCACTGCTAATCAAGACTGAAAGGCTTGCTGCGCAGGATATCTTTAAAGTGGTTGATGATGATTTCATTGAGCTTGTCGGGGTCATTGTGGAGTTTGTTTCTATCTGATAGGATAGAGAGATCTAGGGATGGTTTCAGGTCCCCCAGGGCTTTTTTGATTGCTGCTTTAGGTTTCTCTCAAAATTTGTGAAAATTTTTTTCAATATGATGTCAGATCTCGTCAATTGCGAGCTGCCTTGCTTTTTCCATTTTTTTATTCAGAAGAACTTTGATAACTTTTCTAAGGGTTTTAATGGATAGTAGCTGGCTAGTAAGGTTTCCGAGAATAATTGATCCCATTTGTGGAAGCTTGTGAGGTATTCTATTGTTACGAATCTTTTTTATTGCTATTTTTACTGATCTAATGTTGTTATCATACTGGG